GAAAAGGGCTGAAGACGAGGGCTGAGAAGATTACATTATGCACTTTTTATAGTTTTTGAATTGTGCAACTTAAGAATGTATAATTCATAGAAATAAATTAAAATACTAAAACAAAACAAGTGGCCACAGGGACCTGCTAAGGAATAAGAAGGCAAAGCCATTTTCTGAGGCGTTATATATATATTTATCTTCTTAGAAAAAAATTTTTCTATACTAAGTCTATAAACACATAAAGCCAAGGATAAAGAAATAAAAGCATCTATAATTTTTAAATAAATTCTTAACTTTCTATAAATTGTAAAAAATAGGCCAAACTTTTACTTATATAGTAACAGATGGTCAGTCAAATTTCCCCCCAAGTAATTAAAAGAAATGACAATATTTTATATTAATCAAAAGAGGGAGAGATATGAACAATTTTAGTTTCAACATATTTCCTTGTGCCCCTTGGTGAAATCTAATTTTAGCAAAAGCCACTTAACACATATAATTACTAAATGAATATACAGGAAGATGTAAAACTTAGCTTTCATATCACAGTCTCAACAGTGATTAATGTAATCTTATTTAACTAACAAGAAGAAAAAACTCTCCGTAAATAAGCATCTAATTATAAGAATACAAATGTTATTTTGTGGAGTAGTGAGTAAATGTAGTTTCTTAAAGCAAATTGTTAATTACTGAATAGTGTGGTATAAGATAAACTGTTTTAATAGCACAAAATATCACTTACACAAAGTTTTAATAATCACAAAGTTTTAATATTCCAATGCATATTGTTTTCAGGTTTCAAAATTCTAAAATTCTGTAAGTGATATGTTTATACAGAAAAATAATGAAGAAAAATAAATTAGAATTTCCTATGAATGAAAACACACAAGAAACTAGGTGATGTAGTTAGAAGAAAGATCAAAGTACAATAAGTTCAGAATTATGACTATAGGCACACACAACTCTTTTACCTTAATGTCCATGTGTTACTAAAATATTAACAATAATTAGATTCCCTAGAATTAATTTAATGAAACTAAAACATTTATTCTAGTAGTAACTCAGCAGAACTCATACCCAGAGATGTTCCAACAAAAAAGTTACATAATGTTATTGAAAATTCTTATTTAATACTATCAGTAGAAAGGCCTTTTAAATGTGTGTATATATTTATGTATGTAAAAAAAAATATATATATATACATATATGTAATTTGTACACACATAGTAATTTAAAAATTTAAAAAACCATAACATATTCATCAAATAAAATTTAATCTGTTATCATCATAATCTTTTGAAAAATTCTGACCTTTCTAGGAACCTTTAACATGGACAATTTTTATAATGCACAAGCAAAAATAAAATTCTAAAACATTTTTATATAAAATATATATTTTCATTTAGTTATAAAACTAAAGTAAATCACATACTCAAATAAAAATTGTCCACAAATGATTCAGAGATCCTTCTAGTATGAGAAAGATGGTTTTATACTGAATATTAGAGGAGGCAAGAAAATATTTGAATGCTAATTATTTGTCTTAGCAGTGGCTTCAATTTCAAATCATTATCTTTTTTCATTGCCATATCTTGAGAAACTGGTTTGTACACTGGAGTCAAGTTTTTTTTGTGGGAGGAAATTATTCCTAATAAATTTAAATCAAAGTATTTTATATAGACAGAAGTCAAATGTAAGTGAGAGTCTAAGTAATTATTCAGAAAACCAGAGTAGAAAACTGAATAAAGTGATATGTTTGTGTTATTTTCAAGTGCCCAAATTTAACTAGTTTTGCATCAACTAAGTTAATTAACTATACACTTCACTTACTAGAGGTTCTTAAGAAACAGCCCAATTCCAGTTAGGAATTTTGTCTACAGTATAGGCTTCTTCTACACAGTTAGTTGCATCAGGCATGCTGATAGATTGACTATTAAACATCTAGAAGAACTGAATTGATATGGAACAATCTGGCTCAACATCTGGAAAGAAATGGCTTGAGTGTTGACCAACAATTGTTAAAGATTGTGCTCACAGACACAAACTCTATGGTGATTACCAGAGGGAAAGATGGGGAGGAGGAGGCAGAAGAGGGCCCAGGGAAGATAAATGGTAACTGAAGGAGGTTTGACTGAGTAGTGAACATTCAATGCAATATACAGATTATATAGTATAGATTTCTACACCTGAAACCTACATTATTTCACCTTAATAAATTCAATACAATTGAATGTCACCACAATAAATAAAAAATTTTAAAGGATAAAAAAGATTGTGCACATATAATTTCTTTGAATGGTTCTATAGTGAATGAAACAGATACATAAAAATAAATAAATTCCCTTTGATGACATGGCACTTAGCAAAAAATCTCTGAGTTTTACACAAACCAAACAACCAAAAAACTACAAATTCTAACATTTGGCAAAAGGAGGATGGTAGTAAATCTTAAATAGTTTTCATGGCACCTCAACTTTGTTAACTTCACGACAGTAACAAATGTGAAAGAAGCAGATGAATATCTCTAGCATGCCTGAGAGGGGAACTAAAATGGGAAATAAATTTGGTTAAGAAATGTAAGTAACACTAGCAGATGCATATTTAGATAATATAAATCTATCACATGGCACTATCATATGTGCTCTGAGGGCAGCTATGGTTGTTCCAGGCAAAAGTTATCTTTTTATTTAACTTTTACACTCCTTTTGCTAAAAGGGAAATTTTCTTATAAAAATGAAAAACACAAAACCATCTTTAACAAAATGTTAAATATGAATGCACTTTAAAATGTGTAAATTAATATGTAAATTGATACTATGAAGTGGTGGGATACTTTCAGTAGTTTCCCACTCTTTCCAATTGTTATAATTCAGTTATTATTTTTAATATTAGTTTAATTTACCAACTAATATAATAGAAATCATGCATCAAATTTATGTAATGGATAACTGAAGGAGAAATGCCATTTTTTCATACTGTATATAAAAAAAGTGAAATAATAAAATTGACTCTATTAATGTTTGTACCTGTATTCACATGATCTGGAATAATCAATTCAGTTAACTCAGTAACAGCACTAATAAATCTAGCTAACATATTTCCAGTTGATAAGGATGTTTAACACGCAGCCAGAAATCAGTGTGAAGGTAAACAGAAACACTTGGAGAAAATAAAGTAGAGGAAGGATGAGGTTGGAGGCATGGTATGCTATCATGAGAGGGTGGATGAAACAAAAATGGGAAAAATACTCTTTCTCTTCATTTTTCAGTTTTCCTAAGGCCTTGATAGTGGCAAGTACTTTCCTTCCCACTACAAATGGCTTTCTGGTGACCCTTCTCAGGAGCATTATAAAGTATTGTAATCTAATTTTATTTTATGGAAAAGATACAGTTATCTTTACATATAGAACATTTTACAATTCCTTTGTGAACATTATGATTCTAAAGCTGGGAGGAAATTAGGAAATTACTTAGTCTAACTAACCACTTGTTTTATTGATAGGTGAACTGAGGTGCAAAAAGGGTATCATTTAGTTTACAATCTACATAAATATATTGGGACTAAAAGGTTTAGACATGCCATACCTATTGTTAGCTCCTATTATTATGAAACCAAGAGACAAATATGCATAAGAAATTATCCAAAAACACAAAGAAAAGGTTACAAAAAGGAACTCTCCACTGAGAATAGCTACTGTTGTGATGTCAGTAAGAAAGTGAGCTAGAAGTGAAGAACTTCAAAGAATGGATTAGGGAAAAGGCACTAAATGATGAATGTGTAAACACAGAATGGTTACAAACAGAAAAGTATGTATAAAGTACTTACCAAGTATATGTTACATCTTGAAAATCCATAAAATGAAAAATGTAAAATTTCTCATATTATTATTTTCTAGCAAATTTATTTCTACCTCAATTTCATTATAAAAACAAAGTATATGGGAAGCTATAAAGGGGTGCTTGTGATTATTTCAAATCCCTGGGCTCCTTTTACATAGGATATATAGAAAATCAATCCCACTGCTACTTTAGCTAGGCAGTTCTAAATGACTACAGACTTTATAAGCTTAGTTGAGGTGAAAATAGAAAGCTCAGGTGACAGAGTTGATGATTTCCATTTCTACAAGCTTTCCATGAGCATTTCTGTGACATCACTTCACTACATTAAAATATATTGTGTCAAAATAATTATTTTTATTAAATTCTAAAAACTTGAAAACTCAAATATGTGAGTTCCTAAGATGCTATTGGCTCATAGCAATGATCAGAGCCAACACAAATATTTTTCATTGGAATTACCTAGATCATTGCTCCCCTAAATATCTAGATCATTGTCTCATTGATAGAATAAAAAATGGCACATGCTAAACATTTTTAATTTGCTTTTAAAGAATGGGTTTTAATATACCTTAGAAAAAAATACATATCGTTTTCTCTTTTAAAACTGAATCAAGTAAAAAATACATTAAGTAAACAGTATAGGTGGCATGAGAATATGGCCAGATTTAAATGTCTAAGGTGTGGAAAATGTTGACCTTCATAAAGTAACTTCTCTGGCAATGAGGTAGCATAAATATTACTGGTGAAAGATGTGAAATTTCCAAATTAAATGATATTTTATTCTGTATATTACTTCTTGGGTTTTTATCTCATAAAAGAGCCAGTGTAGATCAATATAATATAAAAAGCCTGCTCTTTGGGCAGAAATTTAAAGGGTTTTACTGAATATCACTGAAGAAAGCCTATTAAAGTTAGTACTAATGAGTGAGAATCCTCTCTCTTTTTTCCTACTATTAATGAAAACTTCCAAATTCATATAATTGTGGGGTGCATATCAGTAACATTCTGCATAATAGCACACATATTACATTCTGGATAATACCACAATACTAACAACCTAACACTTTCTTGTCCCAGCCCAGTCTGTTCGTTTTTTCCTCCCTATATTGGCATATATTAATAGTGGCTACCAAGAGGCTAAATTAGACAAATAAAAACTCAAATACTTACAGTCGCTGGGGAGGCGCGAGTGGTATGCGTCACGGAGTGACCAGAATTCTCCATTGAATTGCCGATCAGATAGGTTCCCCCGGAGCTGCTGATGAGTTGTCCTCCCGTGACGCCCATCTGAATCCCACCAGTGCCCACCATACTGTGGGATGAGACCACGGTAGTCACCTGCGCAGAACTCCCTTGAGTATCAAAGTAATTCCCTCCAGTGTTTTGGCTGTACATCTGCGTTTCTGTGTAAGGATAAGTTGTTGTTCGGCTTTAGAAAAAGAAGAAAAAAGAAATTTACTAGCTTATTTATATCATCTTATTTAACTTTTTCTAGTGTGTGTGTGTGTGTGTGTGTGTGTGTGTGTGTGTGTGTGTGTGTGTATATATATATATATATATATATATATATATATATGTATATTTAAAATATATCCTTTGGAACATGACAAGTTTTGTATTTTGGATGAAACTTGATTTCCAGAAGTAATATGTGTTTACTTTCCAACTTAAAGGCACATGCTTTTATTAAGCACCTCAAAGTGTTCTCTGGCTGTAGAAATCTTGCTAACTGCTTGTGTCTACCTCCAGCATATAAATAGGATCAGGTCTCTTCTCCCCAAAAAGTTTTGCTGAGTGACTTCTTCAATTGCTTATAAAACCTCCTGGAAATCCCAGTTTTAGAAAAGCTGGGATCTGGCATGAGTTGGGGCTGGTAAGTCAACTCCCTATACTAATTCACATTCCTGGATGACTTGCAATAAAGAACCCTCCATGACTAAGGAAACTTGCATGGATATCTTTCTTGCCACCATAAGGATTTCCACTCATCTTGTACCCTAAATCCCTATCTACGTCTCTCTCTTTCTCTATACTCAAGATTCTCCTAGCACTTCACACAGTCACTTTTCACTTCCCAACAACTGCAGTACGGCTTCTGCTTTGGCCTTTTGTTGAAACTGCTTTTAATAAGGTCACTTGCAACCAAATCTAAATACCAAGGTATAAGGGTTCAGTCAGTCCTTATCTTTGTCGACCAAGTCTGCTATATAGCATTGTTGACTACTCCATGTTGCCCTTTCCCTGCTCTTTCTGTTCTGATTAAGCTTATTTCATTGATTTATCTTTCATTTCCAATTGATTATGACATTTAACATAACTTTGTTTTCATTTTTATTTTAAGAAAAGTATATGCTCACAAGAAGTTGTAAAAATAATACAAAGAAATATAAAGTACTTTTACTAAAAATTCAAATATAAAGTTAAAATTCCGTTTGTCATTCTCTTCAACCCACACCCACTAGCCATTTCTGATGATTTAATGTGTATATTTTCAGACATTTTTTATGTATACACTGGGTCTCTCTTAACCTCTCTTGTTCCTTAGTTTCTATGACACTTATTTTCCACTACTTACTTTCTCTACCACTAACTACCTTTCAAGAACATGTCAAAGCTCCATTTTATGGCATTTTAAACAATGACGTCTTCTGTGGTCTCCATGTTTAGTTCTTTTTCAGACCATATACCTTTACCATATACTATACAACCATGTAGATGTTCACAGTAAACAATCTTGCAGAAGTTGATTTCTCCACTCTTTTTACCTTTTAGTTATACTTAGGAATTTTAAATCTGGGTTTCAAACAGCCATCTGGTTATCTTTACTAGGAAACCCTATGTTATATGGGAGGTCCCCTATATAAAACTTAAAGGGAAATTCATTTTCTCGCTCATTTTTTCCTGTGCCACTCTCAGCTTTAGAAGTATTGCCTCTTTCCTCAGACTGATACCAGTCACTAAGTCCTACCAATTTACCTTCTAAATAATTCTCCAACTCTTCTTTCCAGTCTAGTACTTAATGCATTTAACTCATAATATTTTGCACTATAATTGCCTTCTAATAAGTTTTTCTGCCTCTAATCAGGCTCTTTTCCAATCTGTTTTCAACTGTGCTGCCAGGGGAGTTTTTCTAAAATGCAAATACAAAAACAAAATGTTTCTTAAAAAAAATCTTTGGAGCGGGAGGTGGCGGAGGTGGGGAGGACAAAACAAAACAAAACAAAACAAAACAAAACACCTTTCCAGGATTCTCTCTTGCCCCCAGAGGGAATTCAGAACCCTTGACTGACCTTACAAAAACAGCAGGACTGGTGCCTACGTAATCTATTCAGGTGCTAGCCATGCTTTTCCCACTCACACCATACTGGCCTTTCTATTGGTTCCCCAAAGAGCTTTTTCTCTTGCCTTCCTGTTTGTTGCACATGGTTTCCTCTGCCTGGAAGGCCTATACATTTTTCTTCTTTTCTCTTCCTATTTCCTCATCATTCATAAACTCTCAGTTCAAACATCACTTACCTTATCCCCAAATTATTTTTCTGTATCCCTTGCCCTCTCTGCTCACTTTTCATAGGACTGTTATGTGTTGTTCTCTGTATTTTCCTAATGCATGCTCTGTGCATACCTGAATCATAACACTCAACATAGTTATGTTGAATTCTTCATGTCTTAATACTCCCATGAAATTATGTTTTATTCCCATCTATACTCTCAATACTAACAAGTTTCTGGTACACTGTGGGCAGACTAATCAACAGATAAAAATATAATCTGCCAAAATAGTCAGTTTCATGAATTTATAAAACATAAAGCTGTTTTTTAAAACATGAGAAATTATGTTAAACTATTCAAACATTTGTTTATAGCATTTAAAACAAGTCATTTGAACTCATTACAAATTATACTTGTAATATAAATTATAAGCTTTAGTAAAATAATAATAGTGTTCTGAAAGTATTGCACACTAAGTAAGTTAACACATTCTAGCAAGAGCCAGTGTAAGCAGAAACAGGTAAGATTTTTGTTTTGTTTTTTCTTTATTAAGGTATTACATATGTGTCCTCACCCCCCTTTCTCCTCCACCCCCCACCTGTCCCCTTACCTCCCTGGTGTCTGTGTCCATTGGTTATGCTTATATGCATGCATACAAGTCCCAACAACCCCATAGAAAACATTTTTTTTAATAGACAAAAAAGCCATTTAAAACACATGTATAGTTCCTTTCTCATCATTGCTCCAGCTCCTATTGGGAGTCTCATCTATATATTCCATTACATACTGATAAAAGAATCATGCCGATTTCAAATTTAGGTAAAAAGACAAATGAGGTCACTTTACATTATGCCCACTGGATACGACAATGACCCTATCTTATTCTACTTAAAATAACACAATCTAGTATAGCCAAGTAAGGTATACAAATAGATACAGGACACTAAATACTTTGACAGGTGGAAGATATGGTGCTGGCTTTCATTTTCAGAGTTGCAGCAAAATGCACAAGCATGCTCCCTAGTAATAAGTTGATTTCATATATAAAACATCGTGATCATAAATGATAGCTAAGATACTGACCATTTAGTATGCAAGAGGCACTATTCTATGTGCTTCAGGTACTTACTCATTTAATCTTCATTTCAACCATATGAGATAGACGCTATAGCAATTCCTTTTGCACAGACAAGCTGATAGGTTGAATAGCTTTATCTAAAGCTAATAATTGGTAAACAATTATGTGGAGTATGCACTGAACCCATAACATACTCTCAAACATTTTGTCACATAAAAAGAACTTGTTGTGTGTGTAAATTATATTTGTGAATAACTATTGGAGAGTAGCCTTAAAGGTGATATAGAGGCCCTATGCATTTTCTGTTGCTATTTTGGATTTCCTTACATTTTCATTCACTGTTTACTGGCCCCACACTACTCTCTTCTCTTACCCAGATGAGGACCTGCAGATGCACCTGCCATGGTAACAAGATAGAAAAAGTGGAACTATTTCAGAGGATACACCATCACATACTTGGAATTGATAAATCTATGATCATGGGAGTTACTACTCTAGCACAAGAGAAACATTTCAAGGAGTTTATAACACTCAATCTTTGGGTCATGACTCCTTTTCCAATCAGTTCTCAGTGAAGTAATATTACTAATGCAAACAAATGAAGCATAGGTATATAAAACTAGGTCTGTAGTCCTCAAGTCAGGCAGCAAAATGAAATGCAACCTGCTTTTATTTTCATACTTCTCTCTCGTTAGAGATGATTCAAAAGATAGAAAATGAGCAAAGAACAAGACAAGGATAAAAGTCACTAAAAAGTATGTCTAAATCATAAATTGTCCTGATTTTGAGTCATGACCAATGTGACTGGGAAGGCTTGGCTATTGCACAAACAAACCCCGGGATAAAGACTGGCAATTTCTATGGGAGAGGAAAAAGGACAACTTTATTAGAAAACGAATTTGTCTCTGACAAACAATGCATACTTGCAATGAGAATAGAGGAACTGAAAATACTGGATTGGGTAATAGAGGCAGACCATTATGTCCTTTGCCATTGTTCTTTAAATGTAAGAAGATAAACATGAATATATTTGTTGGAGTACTGTTGGGAGCCAGAGTTAGTACAAGTAACTCTTCCATGGTCTAAATGCTCTAAGCTCCTGAATAAATACTGAAGAACTATATAAAAAAAGAAGCACTAAACAGCAAAAATAGCAGTCCTTTCAGAAGTACTAGAAATAATGACTAATTCTGATTCCTCAGATTAGTTTATCTGAATACATGTTTATAATTAGTTTATAATGAATACATGTGAGTTATTGCTTGCACATTATTTTCCCCAGACATTTTCAAAGTACAAGTGGGGCAAAAGTAGGTTTACAATTGTTCATCTGGAAAATAATACAATAAATAATAATACAAGAATAAACACTGTGTTTCACGTATTAACAACTGTAAACCTACTTGGCCCACCCTATAAATATATTTGAGATAAAAACTCAATATCTGGCATATCTGACTGAAAGCAGCTATTTCTAGACTGTACATTCCTGCAACAACTAAATTCCCAAGCAATTATGTTTACATTTGAAAGATGTGCCTCTCTTCCTTTTGTTTGTTATTTATTGATTGCCACAGGCTGTTATGAAAATAATGTCATATTATTTCTATGGCAGGAAAGAAATATTTTCATTGTTCTGCACATGTATGCAATAATGACTGTACACACATAGATATGTGCACACTTGCTGAGAGAAGTTTCTTCACAGCTGACTATATTGTAAGGTCCAATGTAAATGTCAGAACTCTGATCCATTGAGTTCAGTAAATTACTACTGTCCCATCATGCCTCAGTAAGCATGATTCTGAATATTCCATGCTGGCTTATTCATTGGGACTAGTATGTCTATTTACCTCAGTTAT